AGGCAGTCGCTCAACCAACTGAGCCACCCAGGCGCCCGAAGACTGGAAAGTTTTAAAGAAAAAAATGTATAAGGGATTCAAGCATAACTATCTGGAGTGCCTGTGAATCTGGATTTCAAAATTAATAAGACAGTACTGGAGGGGTGTTTAAAGATGCATGATATGTTCTCTCCCTTAAATTAAGAGTGACTAAATGGTCGAAATGGTAAAATGCAACAAATACATATATATCATTCAACTTGCAAAATGTGGAGGGGATATCAGGGTGGTGGGTAGGAGGAAACTATACTGCTACTGACTGTTGTTTTTATGAGAAAATTCATATGAATGATACTTTGAAAAATTCTCTACCACTTGACAACTATGTGAACCTTGGTATGAAACCCAAGCCTCACTATCCTTCACTGCAAAATGGACCATGTATTAGTTTTGTATCACTGAAACAAATTACTACAAATGTATCAGCTTAAAACACAAATTTATGATCTTACAGCTCTGAAAGTCAGAAGTCTGAAACAGATCTCATTATGCTAAAATCAAGTTGTCAGCAGGGCTGCATTCCTTCTGGAAGCTCCAGGGGAGACTCTATTTCTTTGCCTTGTCCAGCTTGCAGAGGTTGCCCCAATTCTGGGGCTCATGTCCCCCCTTCCATCTTCAAAGCCAGCAATGGCCAGTTGAGCCTTTCTCACCCTGAATCTCACTGACTCTAAGTCACGTGCCTCCCTCTCCCACTTACGAAGGATCCTTTGATTACAGTGGGCTCACTGCAAAATCCAGAATCTTCTCCCATTTCAAGGTCAGCTGATTAGCAGCCTTAATTCCATCTGCAACATTAATTTCTCTGGCCATGTAGCATAGTTTATTCACAGGTTCTGGGGATTAGGATATGCACATCATTGGGGGCCATTATTTCGCTTACTACAGACCCCATAAGTATCTTGTGAGAAATAAATGAAATAACATAACATGAAAAATGCTTACACACTGCCTATAAAAAGCCCTAAAATATTCACATATAAAATTTATAGATAAGGTAGACATGATTCACTAAAGGTAACCTAACTAACCTCACCTAAAGTAAGCAAGGATATATATAATGGCTGGATTTTTTTTCCAGTTTAATGAGAAATAATTGACATATATCACTGTATAAGTTTAAGGTGTATAGCATAAATGTTTGATTTGCATATACTGTGAAATGATTATAATAGGTATTGTTAACATCCATCATCTCACATAGCTATAAAAAGAAAATGAAAAAAAAAATTATCCTTGTAATGAGAACACTTATGATCTACTCTGTTAACAACCTCTCTATATATCATACAGCAGTGTTAACCATAGCCATCATGTTATACATTACATCCCTAGTGCTTATTTATCTGACAACTGGAAGTTTGTACCTTTTGATTACCTTCCTCCAATTTCTCCTACCCTCACCCCACCCCCCACCTTTGGTAACCACAAATCTGATCTCTTTTTCTATGGGCTTTTTTTTAAGATTCTACACGTAAGTGAGATCATACAATATTTGTCTTTGTCTGTCTGACTTATTTAGCATAATGCCTTCAGGGTCCATCCATATTGTTGCAAATGGATTTCCTTGTTTTTTATGGTTGAATAATATTCAATTGTGTATATGTACCACAACTTCTTTATCCTAAGTGAACACTTAGGTTGTTTTCATGTATTGCCTATTATAAATAATGTTTCTATGAACAAAAGAGTTCAACTTTTTGAGTTAATGTTTTCATTACCTTTGGAAATTCCCAAAAGTGAAATTGCTGGATCATATGTTAGTTTTATACTCCATACTGTTTTCCATAGTAGCTATACCAATTTACAGGTCATAGGGGTTCCCTTTTCTCCACATCCTCACCAGCATTCGTTAGCTCTTGTCTTTTTGATAATGACCATTCTAAAAGGTGATATTGTAGTTTTAATTTGCATTTCTCTAATGACTAGTAATTATGAGCATCTTTCCAAGTATCTGTTGGCCTTTTGTATATTTTCCTTAGAGAAATGTCTATTTAGGTCCTTTGCCCATTTTTTAATTGAATTTTTTTTTTTGCTATTGAGTTGTATGAGTTCTTTATATATTTTAAATATTAATCCCTTATCAGATATATAGTTTGCAAATATCTTTTACCATTGTGCAGGTTTTCTTTTCACTTTGTTGGTGGTTTCTTCTGCAGTGCAGAACCTTTTTAGTTTGACATAGTCTCACTTTCTTCAATTTTATTTTATTGCTTGTACTTTAGGTGTCATATCTAAAAAAGCATTTCCAAGACCCATGTCAAAGAGTTCTTCTATGTTTTCTTCTAGGAGCTTCATGGTTTCAGGTCTTATATTTCAGTCTTTAATCCATTTCGAGTTAATATTTGTGAATGTTAGATAGTAGTCAAGTTTCATTCTTTTATTTTTGAATATCCAGGTTTTCCCACCATGATTTATTGAAGAGACTGTCCTCTCAATTGAGTAGTCTTGTCTCCATTGTCAAATTCTAGTTGACTGTATGTGCTTAGGTTTACTTCTGGACTCTCAATTCTGTTCCATTGGTCTATTTGTTTTTATACCAGCACCATACTGTCTTAATAACTATAGCATTGCAGTATAGTTTAAAATCAGGAAATGTGATGCCTCCTGCTTTGTTCTTCTTTCTCAAAATATTTTTGGCTATTTGGAGTCTTGTGTTTCCATACAAATTTTAGGAATGTTTTTTCTATTTCTGTAACAGATGCCGTTCGAATCTTGATAGGGATTACATCAAATCCACAAACAAATTCTGACATTTTAACAATACTGATTCTTCCAATCCATAAACACAAGATAACTTTCCGTTTATTTATGTCTTCTTTGATTTCTTTTATCAATATTTTATGATTTTCAGAGTAGTGATCTTTGGCCACCTTGGTTAAATTTATTCCTAAGTATTTTATTGTTTTTGATGCTATTTAAATGAGATTGATTTTTCTTTTTCAGAAAATTCATTGTTAGTGTACGGAAACACTGATTTTTATATGTTAATTTTGTATCCTGCAACTTTACTGAATTCCTTGATTAGTTCTAACAGTTTTTTGGTTGAGTCTTTAGGGCTTTCTATATATAAAATCATGTCATCTGCAAATGGAGACAATTTTAGCTGGATTTTTTTAAGGTCCTTAACTGAACCTTCCTATTTATGCCCATTGCATTTGAATCATTCCCATTTATATCTTCTTTATAATTCAGATTTAGTCATATTATCGATTGAAAGCATCCTCACGAGTGCTTTCATGAGATCATTGTTTCAGCAAAGACAGAGTTTGCTAAGGGAAATTGTCAATTTGCTGGAGTTAGCACAAAGACACAGTTACTAAGCAAGCAGGACACGTCTCCAAAGAGAAGTCATAGACATAGAACATCAAGTAGGAACATCTAAAGGGAAAACTGGGAGCTCCACTGCTTTCCATTATGCTCTATTCTGTTCTGAGATCTAAATTGCTGCTGATTTTTCATCTTTTTATCACTTCACACAACTTAAGTGTCCTTGGAAGACATACAGAGGGTAGCACATATCTCATCCCATTGATTCTAAATTAATTTGATCTTTTAACTCCCAGCTACTGTGCTTCCTAGGCTGCTAAAGAAATTGTCTTAGGATGACCTTTATTTCTTTTGCACAAATAAAACCTGTCCAATAGAAGCTGTGGGTTTTGGCAAAATTACATTTAATATTTATTTTGATTCACGTAGAAATACAAAACTTTGACCACATTCAAGAATTTTTTTCACAATTATAATAAAAACATATAAAAGTAGCATATATAAGAATTAGTTGGATTTAACATAAGGACTTTGTCTAACACTATTCAAGACATAAGTAAACCCCTTCAAAAAGGTGTCAACTGCTGCCTCTGGCACCGTTTCCCCTGGAGACTATGATCGTTAATTTTAAAAAAATGATTTTAAAGAGTAAGCAATCACAGGAAGATAAAAGAATAGACAGGTTAGCTTTTTCAAATCATACAACAAATTACCCAGTAAATATTTAAATAATAGAGTAAATGCTTTATTGAAGTTGAAAAAAAAATCAAGATATCTTATCCAGAAGATTTTTTTTAATCTCAACTATCACTGGACTACTCCATATTATTAGTATATTGGTGATCAAATAATAGATCTATGAATTTGATAGTTATGACAAGAAGTCTTGAGAAAAATGTTCCAGGTATAGACTGACTATATAAAATAAGAAAATACTGTCAACTGTATAAACTTCAAATATTTAACTCTATAATTCCTATGATATTATAAATCAAAGACTACAAAATAAAAATAAAATGGAATAGGAATAAATTTCAGAGGAAGAGTAACAGGCATTATCTCTTTTTTTTTTTTCCTGGAAAATTTTAATGAGAATTCTCCTAGTGAAAATTAAGTATTAATTAGCTCACAAAGGGCAGGGCAGTAAGACTGACTAGGTAGACACTAGAAGACCTGCCAGAAACAAGGGGTTTGATCACTCATGAGCCATGTGATCTTTCTAAGCCTTTGTTTTCTTCTCTCTTTAAAAGTATTTCTTTTTTCTTTTTTTTTTTTTTACGATTTTATTTATTTATTTGACAGAGAGAGATCATAAGTAGGCACACAGGCAGGCAGAGGGAGAGGGAGGGAGCTTGATGCTGGGCTCTATCCCAAGACCCTGGGATCATGACCTGAGCCTAAGGCAGCCGCTTAATCAACTGAGCCACCCAGGCACCCCTAAAAGTATTTCTTATTTGAAGTTCTGAAAGGTCATAAAGATCCTCACTTTACAAAGTAAAATACTTGACATCTAGAGAATTGAAATGACTTCAGGAGGACAAAGCAGGATTTGCATATCTATGTTTTTTCCATCTCACTACTCTATCAAAATGATTCCTCCTGTCTCTCTACCAACTCACAAGTGCCCTGTTTCTTATATCTGGGATAAATACCACTGGAAACAATGACAAACCCTTGACATAGTCTTCACTCACTTGGTAAACTGCGAAGTGGAGGAGGAGGCACATTGTTTACAGCTATCATGTGAGACAAAATAGTTGCTGGAAGAGAAGACAAAGGCATCTTGTTGGCTCAAAGGCAGCTGATCAAAGGATACTTGAGAGGCAAATGATCCTTCTTTGCCTTGAGGCATCATAAAGCAGAACCCTCAAGGTAGTCCTTGATAGGCTGAGTACTACAGAATCTTCATATTCACAGTTCTAATACAGTGCACAGCATTTCCAAGAGTTAAATATAGACCAGGAAAAGCTATATCTTAGTCCTAGTCCTGTGGAATTTATGAAGGGGGTTTTGCGACCTATAGGAAGCAGTAAGAATGAAGAAGGAAATTCCACAGGGCAGATACAGCAGAATCAACAGCACACAAGTCCAGATTAAATGAAAGAAGAATTCATTAGTCATCCCTAGTGCAGAGCCCTTTTTCTGCCTACTAAATGTTTACATAAGGTATTAGAGACCCGATTTGTAGCAGTACCAACAGGATATTTACACTGCTCTCCATGGCTACATACATAGGGTAAAACACCTCTTCTAATTATCTATCAATTAACTCACCCCTGCTTATATGTAACCATATTCTACTGGAGTATGGTGTATGTTTCGGTTATTTTCTGCTGCTTCACAGTACTTAAGGCTCATTACAATGACTAGGGTTTAGAGTCCTAATTAATGTATCTTTGGATTCTATGTTATCTCCCAAGCCTTTAAAAATATTTTCCTGGTGTCATAACTATAATAAATAATACACGAAAGGACTGCAACTGACTACTAGAATGGTAACCATTTATTGACCACCTTCATCTAGAAAACATTAATAACCAGAATTGAAAGCTTTAGTTGTACTACAAAAGTTAACACATTTATCTTGCAACAGTTCCTATTAAATTGTATCTGCACTAAATAAATAAATAGTATCTGCATAATAAACTTACTTCACCATAACTTTTCAGTCGAATATATTTTCCTGTCCCCAGTTTTATAAACTCTGGATTCACTGGAGACTCAGATCTGTTGAGTCTTATCATTCCTTTCATTTTGTGTTTCTTTTATACTAGTCATAACTCCTATCACAGAATGGTACTTTGATATCCCTACTGTACCCCCTTGGTAATCCCTACAGCCTTCATTTTCACAGACTATCCCAGATCTATTCTCTTCCCATTCTCACATTTAAAACTCAAAGAACCAAGGACCTCTTTATAGAATTACAAAGTGTTTTTGCATTTTTCATGGATTTTAAACAGATGGGACTCTATTAGATGATTTTTTTTTCCTTTGACAAGTAGTTTTGATCAAACAAATCAAAGAAAAGAAGTTTTCAAAGGCCCTAAGTTCATAATGATCAATTCCCTCTCTGATTCCAATTTCATCAATTCTTATTTTTATTTTCTAAGTTTTTTTCTTTTCTTTTCTAAATTTTCACCTTTTCTTTTTTCTCTTCTGTATTTCCTATATTAAAAAACACATACAGTGAAACCTACATACCATAGTAATTTCACATCAAACTCAGCCTTGCTTGAAAACTCTTTAAAAAAAAAAAGAAAATATGAAAAGTTGACAATGCAAGGAAATAAGAACATTAAGAACAGAAAAAGTTTAAAAATCTCACTTAATTTTATCTAAGTTTATATAATCTTCATGATTTTGTGTATTTGCTAGTATCTGCTGGTATATGTCCAGAAAGAATCCATCAAATCACAAATGCAGCTCCTCCAAATGTTTTTGATTAGTCCTTCCAATGTATTCTGAGTCCTCTTAAGATTCATTCTAAGAACAATAATATGATCACATAATCACATGATTTGTGTTTGATGGAAACATGTATTGTTTGTCAATGCCTGGAAATTCAAATCTGATCACTTGTCAAACACTTATTTGTAAAATTATTTTGGTCAAGTCACTTAATTTGCCTTAGTTTCAATATCCTAATCTATACATATAACACAGTCATATATATAATGATACTTATATCAATACAAACTTTACAATACATACATACAGTCTATATATGTAATAATAATGCATCATACAAACACGAATATCAAAAATGAATCTAAAGATCCTAGCACATCTTCTAAAGATAGTAATCATTCAATTATAATTTTGATTAGTAATAATAATAGTAATATTGCTGAGGTAAACCTGAGAAATTTACATAGATTAAATACTTTTTAAATACTTTACTTTTTCTTTTTGTTAAAGGTTGATTTTATTTATTTTTATTTATTTATTTATTTATTTATTTATTTATTTATTTATTTGACAGAAAGAGCACAAGTAGGCAGAGGGAGAGGGAGAAGCAGGCTCTCTGCTGAGCTGGAAGCCCGACATGGGGCTTGATCCCAGGACCCTGGGATCATGACCTGAGCCAAACGCAGCCGCTTAACTGACTGAGCCACCCAGGCGCCCTTTAAATACTTTATCTTAATAATACTTTTAATATGGGTTCCACTCACTCCTTCTACGTAGTCAGCAGTTGTATATTACAGATTTATTGTCCAAGATATACCTTAGGTACTGATTATATAAAACAAAAAAAAGTAATAATAATAATAACCAAATATACCATGATAATTTTCTATACACGCTTAACATTTCCAAATAAATTAATTCCAAAAACAATGCTTCAATTAAAATTAAAACAATTGTTTTAATTCACATATTTATATTTAAAAATATAATCATCAATTGTAATAGCACTGTGTGGTAATAGATGGTAGATACACTTATGGTGAACATACAGAGATGTTGAATCACTATGTTGTACACCTAAAACTAATGTAACATTGTGTGTCAACTATACTCCAATAAAAAAATGTTTTATTAATTAATTAAGAAATATATAATTATCAAAACATTTATATAAATTAAAACTGATTAGATCAAAACTCATTTATATAAAATAGAGTGTTACATATTATATCATTGGCCAATCTGTTCTTTGAAAGGACAGTCCATAAATTACAAGTGCACATGCCTATAAAGACTCCAAATTAAAGTAAATTATATATGTATTTTATATATATATATATTCACATGAATAGTTAGAAATAATATCCAAATTGGGGCACTTGGGTGGCTCAGTCAGTCAAGCATCTGACTCTTGATTTTGCTCAGGTCATGATCTCAGGATTGAGAAATCGAGCCCCACACCTGCTCTCCTCTGAATGTGGAACATGCTTAAGATTCTTTCTCCCTCTGCCCCTCCTCCCCACCCTGCCCTTCAACCCCCCCCACCCGCTCACATGCGTTCTCTCTCTCTCTAAAAAAAATAATAATAATACCCAAATTAACCGAAATGTACATAATCTATATATAATTTTATATAAATAAAGGTTTATAAAGTAATGAATTAATAAAGTACAATATTTATTTATATATGCATATATGGAAGTGAAACTTAGATGGTAATTTGTACTGCTTAGTTCCATGTATGTCAAAGTTGCTAGTAGAAAATGAACACTCAATGCAAAAATACTGTCATTATCTTCTGACTTAAACAAATTTTTTGTTTTTATTTGTTTTTATTTTAAATTGCTCTGAAGTATAATTTTTATGTCCTCCCAAATGGTTTTATTGTGAGATTAATTTATAAACAACTTACACTCCAATTTATCAATACATTATTAAAGAAATAAATCAATTTTCCAGATCCAATAGACAATGATATATTCGTGTACACACATTTGAGTATATATTTGTAATATATACACAATATACTACCTATAATCAAAAAATCTTCCTGTTTTTGATTCATATCAGTCTTTTACCATATGTGGCCTAAGCGATAGTATATTCATGTACAAATATTCACGGCACTTGCCACAGATCTATGTATTCTTTAAATGCATATTGAATTCAAATCACACACAAAAAAAGATTTTCCATTTGAATGAGTTATTTATTTACCTGAAGAAGGGGACCAAGTTTCTCAACAGATGTACCTACATACATTTGTATAATTTGTTTCTCTGGAGCTAAGATAGTTTTTCCAGAACAGTACTAATCACTACACTTGTGAACTAAGACCTATTTTCAGTGTTTCATTCCAGTATAATGTATTTGTAACTTTATTCATTAGAAAAAAGTCAAATTAGGGATAAAGTTGCATAATTTAATAGATCTCAGAAGATTTACCAAAATAATTCCCCTTTTGGTCTAGAGATTCACAAGTATAACATATGATATATTCAAATAGCTTTATTGGATGAATGTTAATTAGTCACAATTCCAGTGCTTCTGTAACCCCTTAGATCAGGCATGTAACTCTTTAAATGTCAAAGCCCAGAAAGGTAATAAGCAAAAATCTGAACAACGATACAGAAAATGACCTCCAAATACGGGCAAAGTAGATCAGCATTTGACTCAGAAACTAGAAAACAAGAACAAAGAAGCATAAGAGGACAAAGAAAATACACTAGCCATTCCTAAGGGTTAAGAGTTTCATAACAGTAACCAATGTAGAGAAATGAATCAATTATAGTAAACCACACTGTGCTTTTACTTTATTATCATATGAAGGATCAGGTAGACACAGGCTCAGATGCCAGCTCAGCCACTCCATTGCTCTGCCATATGGGAGAAGTTATTTATATGCCTTAGCTTCCTGTAAAATGGAAAGATATCTATCTATAGGGTTATTTTGAGAAAGAAAAAAAATAGAGATCACCTAACACAGCTCGTATAGCACAGTCGTCCAATTAATGTTAGCTCTTATATTTTCTAGTTTTCTTTCTATATATACATTTATATTACTGTTTAGTGACCATATTAACTCAATCTTATAGGATCATTGTAAGGATTAAATGAGATTTTTTTTAAGTTTTTATTTAAATTCCAGTTAGTTAACATACAGCGTAATAGTAGTTTCAGGTGTACAATATAGTGATTCAACACCCATACAACACCCAGTGCTCATCACAACAAATAAACTCCTTAACCTCTATCACCCATTTAACCCATCCCCACACCCACCTCACTTCTGGTAACCATCAGTTTGTTCTCTATAGTCAAGAGCCTGTTTCTTAATTCATCTCTCTCTCTCTTTTCTTTTTTGCCCTTTG